TTATACTGTAAAAGTGAAGATTGCAAAATTATAAAATCAAAATCTTTGCCTTCTCAGTTTTATTTATTCAAAGCATGTGTGACTATGACCTTTTTATAATTCTGAAAGAGATGGATTTTTTTTTCATCGAGGAGCAGAAGATTCGAACTTGCTCTTTCATAAGGGAATATGTATCGATTTACGTTATTTTTCGATAGATGTTAATAAAAAAATTTTTTTTTAAAGAAAATGAAAAGGTATATGTATTTTTTGTTTAAATAGTTAAAATTAATAAAAAAAAAATTCTAACAATAATTACTTTGACAAACAGTAAAAAAAAGAAATAATTCATTATAATTTTTTTTTATAAAATAACATATAATATATAAATATATTTTTATATTACATAGCTTGTATAAATAAATCTTTCTAAATAAAATTAAACATGTTTCTTAAGATATATTAGTTAATTATTAATTTACTCTTAATTTTATATTTAATTTAGTTTTTTAATTTATTCTGATACTAATATAACTTGTTTGATATTAAAACTTAAAAAATCATAAAATATTTAGAAATTGTAATGATATATAAAATACTCATAAAAAATTTATTTTTGTAAGAAGTGTTAGTTATAAATTAAATCTAATGTTATAATAAAATATAAATATAATAATTTTTATAAAAATAAAATTTTTTTAACTTTTCTTTCCTTAGTTTTTTTTTTTTTTTTAAATTGAGATACTAAAAAACTAAGAATTATAAGAAAAACCAAAAGTTATTAAATTTTCATCTCCTTTTTTTTAATTTAAAAAATTTTCCAAACAATTTTTTTTTTGTTTCCATTATTTTTCCTTAATTTTCTTTTCTTTCCTAACTCTCTTCTTAATCCAAACATAATGTTAGCTGTCTTTTTTTTTATATATGATTTTGATAAAAAAAGATTGGGGATAATATGATTGTGAGTATATGAGGACGAAAAATAATATAAATATCAAGATAAATCATGTCAGTTTGAAACCGACCAATCTATGGGGAGCTAGAGCTTCTATAATCTCTATGTTATGGACGGTCGTAGTGAGAATGGCACCTTTGTGAATTCTAATAGGTCCACTTAAATGGTATTTTCCTTTTGGTTTCATAGCTTGCATTATTGGATGACGAAGACTTTGAAGCTTGCGCGATGAGATTTCTTTTCTTATTTTAGTGGCAAATTAAGACCTGGAATTGAAACATTTCTTTTAATCTGCATTATGCTTTTCTTGAACCTCCCGTCAACATCCCCCATGTGTCCACAAAAGCAGTCCCTTTCTCTTGCAGGACCAAGGACATTGAAGACCATGTTCCAAATTATTTTTTAACTACAGTACAGTATGATTTTGCAAATGTAAATAATATATTAATATTTATAAATTATTTATATTCTATTAAAATAAAATTTAAATTTAAATTAATTATTATTAAATTAAATTTAAATAGTTTAATTTTTAATTGAGTTAAATTAAAATATTTTTATATTAAACTCAAATAATTGATAAATATAATTAAAATTTTATATTTTAATTATTTTAATTAATAAAATATTTAAATTTGAGTATAAATAATTAAATTTTATTAAATATAAAAATTAAATTTATTTTTATATATTAATTGAATATATTTAAATAAATTTAAATAATTTAATTTTTTATCGAATTAAATTTAAATTAAAAAAATAAAATTCAATCAAATTCAAATTAAATTTTTAATTTTTAGTTTTTAATTAAATTCAAAATTAAATCTAAAGTTAATATTACGTAGATTTGAACTCAATGCATTACACTCGAAACGGCTGATTATGATTTCAACTCACCGGTACAAAAAATAGTTTCGGTTGATATGTATATATATAATATTATACTGCTAAACAGACAAGCAATGATTGAATTGTTTTCGGATTATATATAAAATTAATAAATAAATAGTATAAAAATGTAGCCTCATCCATTTCACAATCATTCGTGCAAATCAAATTAAATGTGACATAGACGTCTGTTTTAATGGGAATCATGTGCGCTTTTTAACGTAAAAACTATTTCTTTTCGGTTCCTTTGGAGGACAAAAGGCAAATGAGGGGAGATTTGACTTTGGTTTTTGTTTGATGGGGACTTGAGCTTGTTGGCTTTAGCAATTGAAAGAGATGGAAAGTAATGAAGGGGTTTCTTCTTCAAGCAGTGGAAGGGTTTGAAATTTTGTGAGAGAAGCGAGGGAGGGTGGTTTGTGCTGCCGACTAGCCGCGGTCATTAAGCAGCAACTGGCAATATTGCTTTGACTCTTCCATTGTAGGGGACCCTGTTGGCGAATCCCAAGCTGTCTGAAAAGCCCATACTGTAATGGATCTATTCCCTTGAATAATCGGATGATGGGACTGGCAATTGGCAAAATCTTACTATTTGTACCCAGGGGTGATAAATGATAATTCAAGTTCACAATGTTAACAGGTCTTTTCAAGATTATAGTTAATTGGATTTTTTTCCAACTATAACCGATTGTTTTAGAGTTCAAGGTCTAGAAACAAGGCATTAAAATTTTACAAATGCAGAATTATTCTGACTAACCAAGTTTTAATTGTGCTATACGTTTAATGATTAGTTGATAATGATAAAGTAAAATGAGAAGAATTTTCAATCAAAAAGGGCAAAAATCTAAAAAAGTACTGAATTAATGCATGCAAGAACACCAGAAAACCCAATGCCAAACTGATTTCTTTTGCGGACAGATTACGAGTCATGGACTGTCAAAGGGCCACAAACTACCAAAGGCCATGTGCACATTGAGTTTAATGTCTGGGACCATTTTGATCCAGAAGAAGATCCTACAGCGGTCCCCATGATCTTTTCCATGGCAAGTTATAATCATTGTTTCTTAAATCAAGCATCGGCTTTTGGCCTAATTTAAGGGACACTGATTTCTGTCATTTGTTTTTATAGTCCGAGCTTTTTTAAAACAAATTTCTGCCTCTCAGTTTCCCTTGAAAAAGCTTCTAAAAAGCTGAATCCCGGTTCTTTATATTAAGCAGCTTCTGATTCAATGTATACAGTTTTTCAGGCAGGCTAGCTATTTGGCCTGCCTTACATATATAGTTTATTAAACCAATGCACGAATCATATAGAAGGAAATTAGGCTGCTTTAACAAAGTAATGAGATCAGCAGAAAATTATTGTCTCTAACAATAAAATAAAACTCGGATGAGAACTATTACTAAGCCGTACGTGGTTTAGTAGTCTGATATCAGTGTATCATTTTGCATCAGTGGCAACCATAAGGATTCAACATTATTAGTAGGGCCCAAGAACAGCTATTTTGAATGTACTAGTGTGGATTTTCTACCTTAAAACCGGAGAAGATGTTGTCCCTTAGCAACATCTGAATATATTCAGTCCTTCATCATCTTACATGCTCAGGTCAGGTTATATATCATTGTCCGTTTCTCCCAATCCTACCAAAACTGGATCATTATCGTGCCGATGATTACGCAAATATAGCTTTGATCTAGTATTCTGAAAAAGTTGATCACAAGCTTTTGATGTGATGGTCAAGTGCTCAACCTTAATGGTTAAGAAGTTACAAGTTCAGGAATCAGGATTCAATGTATTAACAGAACTTAAATTAGTCAAGAACTGAATTATAGTCAATCACTCAAGGTTTAAATGTGGAAAACCAAGAAAGACCAAGGTCTTCTTAATCTTAAAGACCGAGTCTCCCAAGTGAGAGGCATTCAGAATTTCGGTACGAACAGTCAAAGACTTCAGGGATGAGTGATTAAAGCTCCCATGTGAATTAGGACAGGGTGAACAGGGAAAAGTCGAATTTCTAGTGTGCACTCATCAAATACCAGGCATCAATAGTTGTTGACTTTATTTTTTCTTTCTCCTCCAATCACCTTTGAAATAGAAGTCTCTCTCAATTGGAATTGTAAAGTTGCTAAAGAATACAGCTAGCCATTTGCAAAAATCAGTCTCTACAGTCCAACCAATTAATGGAGACTTTGCTGCCTTTGCATATACTTCCAAAAAGAATTTACCTTTCGTAATACATATTCTTTAGATGCCGGATATTTTGCAGTGATCAAACATTCATGGGGTCACTCAGGACCCCACCCTTTAATGCATTCCAACTTCTAACTTTAGATTCCAACTGTGGTACTGGAAAAATATATAGATAAACAATCTGTTGTTAAGAGAGAAAAGGGAAATTATAATCAGTTTACAATAATGTCTGCCTTACTACCATAATGAGTTTTCAACAACCCAGCAAAGGGACATTCATGTATGTCCGTTTCGGATTTGGTGTATTTGATTTAAAAAAACTAGAGAAGATCTTCTTTAAGTTTTAAATAAAAAAGGTATCTTTCAGCCTATTTAATTTCATCATCAGAATCTTATATATATTCAGTAATCCATTGTTTTTTCTTGCATTCTTTATTTGCTTGTTGATCAATGATGGTTATTTATGATTCTATTCAGTGAAGATGAAATGAAATAATTTGCAGTTTTGAACATGAAAAAAAAAAGGTCCCATTTAGAGAATCCTGACAGTAAAAGAATATTAACGACATAAGACAGTATTAATTATTTACTCATTAGTTTTGTCATGGTCAAATTATGAAGCTCCCATATGTAATGGGAAAGGGAAAGATAAAAGAATGAAAAATTAAAAAAGATTGATGTAGTACTGTTTAATTGTCTTTATAAGTGGCCAGCTTGATACGTTCATTTGAAGTGATATTATTACCCTGTTTGCAGCCCATCTATCAGTTACAAACTAATCAGAGACTATATATATAAACATCAAAGACATGCAGGAAAACAAAGGCATAGGCTATTAAATGAGCAGTAAAATACATTCACTTTTTATTGAAAGGACAGCACCATTGTTGTACAGGTTGCTGTATTACTACATTTATACAAGAATTGATAACCGTTTCCTTTATCACCACTGTTACCAATTGCTATCGTTTCCTTTCTCTCTCTCTCACGCTCTTGCACTTATCGCACAGACTCTCTCTCAAAGCCAACTGGCGATTTTGATTGATTCACATAAGAAAAGAACAAGAGGGAGAAAGGATTGAGGAAAGGACAAAAGTAGTCTAGGAGAGGATTTGAGTGTGATTCATTTCGTCTTATCCGCTCTACCCTCTTTCTATTCTCTTTATACACACAACAGCTTCAAAAGTTTGCATGTATGTGAAAATCCAAGTGAGAAAAAGAGAGTGTTCCTTTTCATTGTTCATAGCAAATTCATTTCCTTTTCTATCTTTGTTACACACAAGGAGAGGGTTGTCAAGAAAACACGCATTTTGTAGTTTGGTTGGAGAAAGAGTGTGATAATGAATGTATCAGCTTCACAATGTGGTAGTGGTTGTGAGTCTGGTTGGACTCTTTACTTAGATCAATCCTCTTATTCTCAAACTCGGTATCAAAACTTTGGTGGGAACTTTGATGAGGATTATGGAGGAAAAGGAGCTAGATTCGTGGTTGAAGATGAGGAGGAGGATTTATCCATGGTGTCTGATGCATCTTCTGGCCCAAGACATTATTGCGAAGACTATAAGGGATGCCTAGATGAAAATGGAAGCTTCTGTTCTGCTCCTGTAGCCCCTGAACCATCCAAGAAAAGCGACAAAAATAAAAAGAAAATAAAAAAACATGGTAGCAATCAACAGCATTCTTATCTTGATGACACTGCCAGCTCCCCTGTAATAAGCTTTTCCAAGGCAAGTTTCACATCCTGACTACAATTTTCTTACTGTATACCTATAGGTCCATTTGTAAAACATTAGAGTGATAATGGGTGTTCTTGGTGTATGTACAGAAGAACAGCAAGAAAGAAGCTTCAATAGATTTCTTGGACTTGTCACAAGGTTACTCGGGTACACATTTTAAGGTATTAAGCACTAACTATCTCCTTTAAAAAAGTTTGTCTACCATTATCATATAGTGTATAAACTTGGCTATGCTGCTTGTGAGCTCCAGGGCAAATCAGCATTCCAGAAAAAATTTGGTTTCTTGAAATCAGGAAAAGCAGGTTCAAAAGATGCAGGTTAGTCTTTGCTTTCACTTTGTCATAGATATTCATATTCTTCTCGGGAAATTTTGGCATTTAGATTATGATACATCTATGGACAAAAAAGGAAATTTGATGGTTAGATATGCCTAATTTGTATTGTATTAATCTCTTGGAACAGGTAGTTTCCAGGAAAGAAACTGGGAATGACAAAAGGGTAAACCGTAACAGCTTTTGTCTCTAGTCTCTACTACTGCAGCTGCCCTGGAGAGAGAAATGAATGGCAGGAACGTGTAAAAAAAAAGGCATTAGATCTCAAAGGGATCTTGTTCCTTCCTCTTTATTCTTGTTTTTTTCTTTTCCAATTCTACTTTTTATTTGTTCCTGTCAATGCAGTGGGAAACAACCTGAGAACATTAAAAATAAATTAAATTTCTGTCATTGGTTGTATATATTTATCTTTTTTATCAGTGATAGGCAGTTGTGAAAATTGTAGGTTTTCTCCAGTTTTTTTTTTTCTTGACATCATCATGAATAGACCATGCAATTGATGCTGCTCCATACTGTGTAGAGTCTGGCTTTATTATCACAGAATCTATTTCTTCAGGTTTATCTACTGTAGAGTGTAATGTTTAAAACTTAGTAATACGCTGAAGGAACGTTCTGCCTACCATAATTTTCCACTTGGTTGCACGGAAGACTTAAAAATTTTGGATGCTAGGCTGAGAATATGCGGTATCCACAAATAAATTTGCTGTTCAAATTTCATCACTGTCAGAGACACTAGTTTCTATCTTTTTTTTTTCTTTTTTTTTTTTTTACCGTTTTGGAAGAATGATAGAAAGGCTATATTTTTGGAAACAACTAGAAACATTATTAACCTAGGAAACTTCATATTTAACCCAAAAAAGATGGAAGGAAAAAAATGAAGAAAAAAAGTGAAGGCTCACCACAGAAGATAGCTGTGGTCCTTGGATGGACAGGGTGTCGTTGCATTTTCCATTAATCGGACGAGTACCCCTGTAGCCCATTAGAGCCCACCCAACCACACACAACAAAAAAAATTGAAGAGAGTACAAGGCCATTATAAAAGCATACCAATCCGGCAATCCCGGATGGCAGCAAAATGGCCCACCTTTTTCCACATCTGCAATTTCCAGCCTAGCTTAAAACTAGGTAGGGTTGGTAAATTTGGTAACCTATGCTATACCAGATTCAAAACAGACAAATATCTCAGATGGAAGGAAGCAAAAGCCAAGCTTCATTTTCCACCAAAAGGGTCCCAAAAGCATCATCCCACCATTCCCTCTCTGATAGCTACTAACCAAGAATGTGATCCATACATAATACTGGGTGCAATTATTGAATTTTGTTTTAGTGAAGGTGTTTCCCAGGCCGTCCTGAGACTTAGCAAACCATATCTTGGAAAGGGACTTGGATCTTAGGAAAAGGACAACACTTTCCCACTTTGTCCTGTCAATCCTTCTTTCTTGTCCTTTTTTACTTTTGATAAAATAACGTCATACTATATTCACTTCCAAGGTTAATGTCAACTACAAAAACAGGATAGAACCAATTTATTGTTTTCACAGAGTCAGATTATGCTTCCAATATTTGACATTATAATCCCACTTATAATAGATTTATGGTCGATAACTCGAGATATATATACACTGTATTACACTATTTCCTTAATTTTATGAATCACTTACTTCGCTAAAATATCTGCAGTGATATATTGTCCTGTCAGTAGCTTTCTGAAATGAAGACAAGAAGTGCGCGGGGAGGCATGGGAAGAGGGTTTTGCTGTTCCAAAACTCGGCTGCACTTGCCTTGAAATTCAAAATATCCATTTAAGCTTGCCCACCAACATCTTCTGCAAGCTGGCAGAGAGAACTCCTACTGACCTAAAGGTAGCTCTTCCATTTTTCATCCCTTCCCAACGATATGGACAGCTAGCAAATTAAGAATAAAAAAAATTCAGGCATGGACGTTAAAACAACACCAGAATTGAAGACAATTGTACCACTACAGTAACTAATTGGCATTGTTGTCCCATTTGGCATCTTGTAATTTCCCAATTTTAATTCATCAAAAATGATCTCACATTGTAATTCATCAAATGCTTGGGTGATTTTAAGCTAGGGAAAAGTTTATGAAATTTTTAAAAAATGTGGATTAGCCCAACCCAGTTATAAGAAGACAGCCCAACATTTTGGGTCGTGGGCCTCTCTGCAACATTGAATTGTGATTGATCATTTTCATGGCAATTGATTGATGTTTGTGTGGTTTTTGAAATTAAGTAATCAAAAACATTTATCTTTTCAAAAATTGTAAATGAAATAATTTGCACATGTAAATTGACCATAAAAATCTCAATCAATTGATTTGCACCTTTGCCTTCAAAGAATTCAATAATTGTTAGTAACCTTGGAAACACCAAATCATCATTATACATATTTTTATTGTCTCTTATTCTCTATATGAAAGCTAGTCTCCCAATTAACCTAAAAAAAAAAAAGTCTTGTCTTATATTTTAGTTTTTTTAATTGAAATTATTAATTAATGTCTCATAATACTTATAAACAATTGTTAATCTATTTTTTTAATTTAGTACTTTTTATGGAACAGTGTCTAAGGTCTAATGGCCTAATTTAAGGGTTAAAAAGTAATTTACGGTCGCTTAACTTTCGAACTGTCATTATAAGTTCAAGGATTAAAATGTAATTTACTTGGTCATTTAACGTGGACGCTGTTACTACAAGTCGGTAGTAACCGTTGACTGCAACTTCAACGGGCTACAAAACGTAAAGTTCAAGCAACAAATATAAAGCCCAAAGCGGGCGGTCCAACGTGAATCTGCCATTAAGTCGGTGACCCACAAACAATCAACCCGTAAGCCGGACTTGAAAATTCGGGAAATCCCAACGGTTCTAAGTACAGAGATTTACCTGTATCAGGCAAAGCGAAAGTAAAATTTTTGTGGTTTTTGTTTTTCTTTCTTCAGAGTGAAGAGGAGAAAGACAAAAAGGCTGAGAGCCCAAAGAAATTTATCATCTCCGATCCTCAATGGAGGATGCCTACGTCAGATCTGTTTCTGAGGTATCTCACTTTTCTATTTTATTTACATTTTTTATTCAAATAGTTTGAGACTACTTACTCTAAGTGAATTCTTCAATTTTAACTCATGCGTCAAGATTTTTATTTTGAGTTCGTTTTTTCAGATCGAGATTTTGAATATTGAGTGCGTTTGTTTCTTTGTGTTAGGTTTTGGATTTCTTTGGGGTAGACTCGACGAAAGGTCTCAGTGATTCTCAGGTAAACCATTTATATTATTGAACTGCATCGAATATTTTTGCTAAAATTGGATTTTGTGTTCGTAATGTCAGGTTTTGCAACATGCTAGGCTTTATGGTAAAAATGGTAAGTTAATGTTGTTGTAGTTATTATGTTTATTATAAATTATTTATTTATTTATATTTCATGTGCAATTGACAATATGTTAATGGAGGAATTAGGGGTATAATAGATCGAGTTCGAATCGATACAGTATTAAGCTCGACTTGAAATTTGATGCTTGAAACTCAGCTCGAACTTGACTCGAGATAGAAATTGAGTTGTTCGAGCTCGCTTAATTAGGTTTGATTAACATATAAAAATAAACTTGATTCTTATATTCATCAAAAGCTTGATTATTTGTACTCGAGCTCGAGCTTGAGTTTGAAATATATTAATTAAAATAATAAAAATATATTAAAATTTAAAAACTTGATTAAACCCGCGAGCTACTTGAGTTAGGTATAAAAATGTGTGAACTCGGTTCAATTGATAAGCCGAGCTACTCGATCTCGACTTGATAATAACCGAGCCGAATTCAAGTTTCATTTAAGTCGAATCCAAATAACTTGTGAGTACTAATGAATCATTTACACTCCTAGGAGGAATAGTTAGGAACTCTATCAAGATACTTTTTTTTATGCGATGTTTCCTTATAATTTTTCATCTGGTTTAAAATTGCAGTAGTTTAATCAACTACAGTGATCTTGATTCATGAATATTATGAAATTTGATATTAATTTCTCTTTTTATCTCCCTTATAATTTTTTTTCCCTTTCCTTGCATGTATGTTTTATGGTCTCCAGTGCTGCCTGAAGAAGAAAGTAAGCACTGCAAACCACCATTTCATTTCTCATTTTGAGTTTATTTATTGAATTGCTCTAACAAAGGCATTCATGCACCTTGATACTTGAATATTGTATGTGTTTTTTGTTATGAAAGTTACTTTAATTAGCTCATCTATATTTCTGTCGACTTTTTGGGAGTTGATAGCTGTTGCTATGCATTAATTTAAACTGTAACATTTTAATTACTCTAACAGCTTCTCTGTATTACTGTTAACTTTTTCTCCATCAAGCATTGCTTTATGGTTTACCTATTTTTCATTGCATTTGAGTCAAACTTCAAAAAATTATGTTTTATAGAAAGCCTTTTGACATTTATGTGGTTTGTCTGAACAAGTCTTTGCATTTAGAATCAGCTTAACAATGAATGTCTTGTGAAATTGTGACAATCTTGTCATAGATTGGTATTCAGGAAAAAAGAGGTTGGCTCTGGCTATGGCTCAAACTCTTGGCATTGTACCAGATGTTGAGCCTCTTAAAAGCTATATTGAGGTGGTTTTAGCTTCTATAATTTATTTTTGGCAATTTTTCTCCTTCTGAAAGAAGTATAAGAGCAGTTAGTTTTAGTAA